AAACACCATGACCAAGGCAACTTACTGAAGAGTTTATTTAAGGCTTATAGTTTTAGAGAGTTGGAGTCCATGACCATTAAGGTGAGGAGCAAAGCATGAGAAAGGGAGGGATGGGAAGAGGGAAGGAGGGAGGGGGAGAGAGAGAGAAAGATGGAGGGAGAGAACAAGGGCACAAACTGGAAATGGCATGTTGTTGTTGTTTTTTCAAAACAGGGTTTCTCTGTGTAGCTTTGGAGCCTGTCCTGGAACTTGCTCTGTAGACCAGGCTGTCCTTGAACTCACAGAGATCCGCCTGCCTCTGCCTCCTGAGTGCTGGGATTAAAGGAGTATACCATCCCCTCCCTACTGCACCACCATCACCCAGTAGCATGGGCTTTTAAAATCCCAAAGTTCACTCCAGTTATAGCCCTCTTAATCATCCCAAATAGTTCTACCAACTAGGGACCAAACATTCAAATAGGAGTCTACAGAGGCCATTCTCATTCAAGCTATCACACTTGTCAAAATTTATTAACCTGTATGGCATGTGCATTCCCCTAGGCACACCTGTAATCTTAATAAATAAACAAATACATACATACATACACACACAGGGAAACTGCCTGCCTGAAACAACAATAAGGGGCTCATATATTTGACCAAAGGTATCTGGATGTCATGGGAAACTAGTAAAACACCAGCCCAGGCAAAGTATTGGCACAGATTTTCCCCAAAAGGTTTAATGCTATAATAAGCACAAAGCTTCAAATTATCACTGCAGGAGATAAATTCAGGTTATGTTCATGAATTTAACAAAACACATGGAAACTGCATGTGCGTGTAAGAACACTACACAATGAAAACTACACTGCCTGTGGAAGAGTTCTAGCATTTTCTGAATAAGCCAATGATTCCCCCCCCCCCATGGAATTTATTTTATGTTCACAAAACAAGAACAAGCAAGGATCACTGATTGGGTCTGAGATGGGAAAACTAGAAACACCCCAGTGTTCCTCCACAGGATAGAGGATTGCATAATGCAATGACCTACAGCTACACACAAGGTTGAATCCACTCATGAGGAATCTCATGAGAAGAAATAAATTCATAGGTGATGAGCCTGGGAATGCGCAGATGACAGATTTTTTTGTTGTTTTTGTTTTTGTTTTTGTTTTTTGAGGCAGGGTTTCTCTGTATTGTTTTTGGAGCCTGTCCTAGAACTCGCTTGGTAGACCAGGCTGGTCTCCAACTCACAGAGATCCACCTGCCTCTGCCTCCCGAGTTCTGGGATTAAAGGCGTGCGCCACCACCGCCCGGCCAGATGAGAGATTTTTAAGACCTCAAAACTGTTTAGTTTCCTAAACTGAATGTTGCTGCCGTCATTTGCTGTATCTTTACAGATTATAAGTATTTTTCTCCATGTTACTAATAAACATTACATTTTTAAGATTTTTTTTGGTTTATATTAATTATGTATATAATAGGTTTCATTACCACAGTTTTTTTTTAATCTTTGTGTGCATCTGTGGGGATGTGTGTGTAACTCACATATGCATGCTCATGTATGAGTACAGGTATGTTCGTGCCAAGACATGCATGTAGATATGAGAGGACAACCTCAGATGTTGATCTGTACCTTCCACCTTGAAGGCACTTCTTAAGCTAGCTAACCTATGAACTCCTAGGAATTCTCCTTTCTATAGTTTCCATGTTGTCATAGGTATACTGCATTACAGACATATGCTACCATGCCTCACTTCAGTGGATTCTGCAGACTTGAACTCAGATCCTCACATTTGTGTAGCAAGTGCTTTGACCCACTGAGCCATCTCTTCAGTCCTCATTATGACATTTCCATACATGAATATAATGTATTTTGGTTGATGTAATAGTGGCATGACTGTTGTAGGAGTATGTACACATGTATGACTAATGTGTATCTAGGCATGAATATATCATCTACATCCTAAATGAGTTACATTAATGGTTACAACTGAAGAAGTGAGGGGTCAGGGGAAGTGGAAAGGAAAGGGATGGTAATAAGGGGTCTCTCAGGCATTTACCACATAATACCATCCTCAGCACAGAATCTTCAGACACCAACAAAAAATTATCCCATGCCTATGAGACGTCAGGCAGTTATCTTACTTATACACATTACTTTTGTTGGATTTTAATGTATTCTCTTTATTTAAATTAGAAACAAGCTTGTTTTACATGTCAATTCCAGCTCCCTCTCCCTCCCCTTCTCCCTCACTACCTACCTATCTCCCCAACCCCCAACCCAATCCCCACTCCACTCCCCAGGGAGGGTGAGGCCCTCTATGGGGGATCTCCAGAGTCTGTCATATCATCCAGGGCAGGGCTTAGGCCCTCCCCAAAGTGTCCAGGCTAAGAGAGCATCCCTCCATGTACAATGGGCTCCCAAAGTCTATTCATATGCCAGGGATAAATATTGGTCTACTACCAGAGGTCCCGATTTTAATTTATTCTACAGCAGCTACTTGACTATGAAGAAACATCTTGGTCTCAAGTCTTCAGGAAGACATCTAAGGGTATTTTGCAAGAAACACTCAACCTTATTTGGGGTGGCCCCAGACTGAGTTGTTAAGTTCTGCATTCATTTAGTAGTCATGTACTTTTTTAATATACTAAAAACAGGTTGGGTTTGCCTCAAAGGAGATGAGTTGTAAGATCTGAGCCACATTATTCTGCAGAACCCAAACACCTGTCTGCCACAAATGATGACTTTAATGTCTTTCTGACAAGGACTGGATCCTGACCAAGAAGAGATGCTTAACCCATTCATGGAAATTGGCTGGTTTTCATAAAGGATCAAAATTTTAACCTTAACATAAAAGGCCATTAATAGCTGTAAAAACAACAACAACCAGAAATGCTAACTGCAAGTCAGGTCTAGAAAAATGCAAGTATTGTTTTTTGTTCATTTCCAAAACCTTTCTTTTGCATTTGTGCCAGGTCCCTAGTCACTTGGGCAGGATTTAAAAAACAAACAAACAAAACACACACACACACAAAACAAAAACCCAGCACTTCTGCAGCCCAGGCTCCCTTCTAACTTGCTGAAGACCTTGAACTCCGATCCTTCTGCTTCCCTCCCACATGGAGGAAGTACAGCCTTGTGTCACTACCCCTGGCTTTATGTGGGTTAGAGATGGAACCCAAGCCTTCCTTCACACCAGTCTACTCTTGAGCTCCATCTCCAGATCCCAGGTGGTGCTTTTCAAGCATCAAGCTCTAAGCTTTGTCAGATTTATAACTAGAAGCTTCTGTGAAGCACAGGGCAGTAACCAACCTTCGTCTCTAGAGAGTTTAGGCCAAGGCTGAATCAGTCCTACAAGCCTGCAGCAGTGAACAGCTCTGTCCCCACCTCTAGGGCCAAAGGACTGTGGCTCAAATACGAGTGGAGGAAGAATGACAGAGGAAAGTGGGTTCAGGAGTCCTACCAAGTCTTACCAATGAGCTAAAGACGCACACCTTGGCATGTACAGTGAACTGAACCCTGGGTCCCACAGTCTAACTCCACAGTTACGCCTCCATGGGATCAACAATTGCTCAGAACACAGAATCATGGGTTTTCGGAGTGGAAGCATGGCCTTACACTCTCATTTCCATTGGTGAAAAATCATTTACTGTATTTCTGTTAAGTGTCAAGTCTTGTGATAGATGCCTCCCATGAAAATTGTATGAGAATCCACACACCCTTTGTAAAATTAGCCCTACTTGTTGAGCAGGGGAGATAGGACAAGGCCTCGTGTCACCTAGGCGGATCTCAAACATGATACATAGTCATGGATGGCTGATGATGGTCTTGAACTCCCTGTCTTTCTGCCTCTATCTCCTGAATGCAGGTACCACCACACCCAACAATTAATCCCGTTTTGATCAGGAAAATAGCATCCAATGGCCGCTGTTAAAAGTGACAGAAGTGGGATTTAAACCCACAGCCTCACCCTCATCATGGCCATGGAGTGTGAGGAACCAGGTTCTTGGGGATTCTGATCAGGCACTGCTTTTTATTTTACACCGAGGTGGCAGTTGCTTGGTTAGCAGAAATGAAAGGAAAAAGAAAAGGAAGCAGCTGTCCATGTGTCTCTTCCTTTCTGACACTGGAGCTGTGAGCCCTCAGCTTTGCTGACCAAGAAAGAATCATGACCCCCAGCAGGAGAGTGCAGCAGGCATCACACCAGCCAGTCTCTGGCCATAGTCTCCAGTCGGCAGCACGCAGGCAGATCAGCTCACAGGGCACCCCTTCTCGGTGTCTTCCCTAGCCACCAATGTTACCTGCCTGCCCTCCTGACTCTGCTCAAGCCTTCAGCCCCCAGCTAAGAAGCCAGGGTGAACTCCACTTCAGCACCCAGTTGTATGAGCCCCAGAGCAGGAGCTTCTGACACTCAACCAGCAACCCTTTGACAGAAGCAACACCAGGAGGCAACAGGACAGCTTCACAAAGCACAGGAAGTCAGGCAGAAGGCGATGAGAAGTCCCACTGAGGTGCAACTCCCTGACCTGGTGCACCCGCGGTAAAGACTGGGACCAGGGATCAAACACAGGCCTCCTCTTTCCTCTCAACACTCCCCTGCCTAGTCTCTCAGTCGCCCAGTTCAGACCTGACCTCAATTTCAATCCCTAATCCACAGAGCTCGGGAAACTTCAATTCCAGCACTCACCCCAACCGTTCCACCCCAAGGGTGGAGACGCAACGGCACAGTCCTGACGGATCCTCATCTCTCTCTCTACCCCCAGAAACGCAAGTTCAAGGGCTAGGTCCGTCGGATTTGCCTCTGCCTTACACTGACACACCCCCAGATCACAGCATACACAGTGACCCCGCGCGGGTGAACACCCCGGGTTCCCTCAGCCTGCACGCCGTCCCCCGGCGGCACACCTGGCCCAGTCATGCAGGCGCCCGCCCGCTCCCGCCCCGGTGCACCTGCGCGGGCGCTCGCCAGGGCCGCTCGCGCACCCGCGGCTCCCTCAAGCTGCCCCTCGCCCCTTACCAGCGCAGCGCAGCCGTCCCGCGCCGCCCGAGGCCTGGGGCCCCGCCGCCCGCTCCGGCCGCGGCTCCTGGGCTGCCCGCCCCGCCGTCGCCGCTTCCCGTCACGTGGGTCGCCGCCCGGCGCCGGCGGAGGGAGGGCGGGCGCTCGCCGGTGCCCAGGCCGCCGTGCGCCCGCTGGGGGGCTCCGCGTCAGGGCCAAGTGCTCCGGACGGAGGGCGAGCGCGCTCGGGCGAATGTGCCGGCGGCGCCGACCCCGACCGCCGTCCCCGGGAGGGCAGAGTCTGGGCCGGCCGCCTGGGAAGCGCGGAGGTAGAGCAGCCTCGTCTTCTCCGCTTTCCACCCCATGGCTGCCTGCTACACGGCGCCGGTCAGGTGGAGGCGCGGAGGAATGCCTCCTGGACAGACGGGTGGACGGACTTAGAGCCGGGGCCCGACTTGAGAGTGGGGATGCCTCCTGAACCGCAGTGTGCCAACTGGGGGCACGGTCTGTCTGTTCCCAGGCCCACTGCTAGTCCAGGCAGAAGGGAATGCAAGTCCCGGAGGGGAGGAGCGTCTTTCGGGCTACCCCTTCCTAGCTGGGAGTCCCGGGGCGATTCCACCCACTTCTTTTAGGGCAGTCCATCAAAGGCCACTCATTTGTGTCAAGCCCTTGTGAGGAATCCTAGAATCCTTCTTCCGCATAGAATCGAAACCCAGTTTCCTTATGAAAGGTTAAAACGCTCCTCCAGAGTCATCTGTGCTATAAACACCAAACAAACAAACAAACAAAAACCAGACGGGTTTCTCCAGTTATTTCCCCTGACTTGAGAACTAGATATTGAGGTGGCCTAGGGGCTCCCTCCCCGACGACGCTGTCCCCAGATTTTGTAGGAAAGATACCATCCCAAACCCCAAGAGTGGATAACATACTATTCTGTAGTCTTGTTTCAAAGGAGAAAGAGCCTTAGGGGTGAGGGCCTAGAAAGACTAGCTTCTGAGGGGACCTCTACTGACTGATTATAGACCCTCAGTTGAGTGCTGTCCATTTCCCCATTTTACCGAGGCAAAGAGAGGTAAATGACTTGTCCTGAATCTCATGCTAGTAAGGGTCAGAGCAAGAACTCAGACTTCGAGAACAAGGTGTGTCTGAAATAAAAATTAAGTTCTACTGATTAGTTCGTGTAACAACCTTTAATTCCACTCTAGATGATCCAGGAATGAAGATGCATATATCAAAGAAGTAAATCAGAACTAAATATTTTCTTTACAAGAAGGCTTACCGCAGGTTTTGTTTTGTTTTTATGGCAAGCTCTATTGTTGGCACATCTGTTCTTGGGACACACTGATCCATCTACATCACGAATGACAGCTACCTTTAGGTAATGCCTGGACTATGAAACAATATCTTCATAAGCTAATTAAAGTCTTCTCGTTGTTTCTGTTGGGTCCATTTAAAAGCAAATTTAGTGCCATGGCTTTCAAATGACTGTTTTAAAGATCACTGATATGTATGAGTGTTTTGCTTGCATGTATGTGTATCACATGAGTACAGGAGCACACGGAGGCCAGGAGAAGGCATCAGATCTGGAACTGGAGTTATAGATGGCTGAGCCAGGTGGATGTTGGGAACCCAACTCAGGTCCTCTCTAGGAGCAGCAAGCACTTTTAACTGCTGAGTCATCTCTGTCCCCTCAAATGAAACCCCTGGATCCATGTCAAACACTATAATGACATTTTATAGGATGTGAAAAGAAGTGTTCTGACAGAAGACTAAGGAAAATGATGCATTTCATAAATACAACTGGGCAATTCAACAGTTGGCCAACACTTCCAAAACTTAGTATCCTCTATCTTGTGCTATGTAACCCAATTCTATCAAGCTCTCTGTTCTATCTTCTTGAAATAGAAAGCACTCAGTCAGTTTTGTTTTTTGTTTGTTTGGTTTGGTTTTTCAAGACAGGGTTTCTCTGGAGCTTTGGAGGCTTTCATGGAACTCACTCTGTAGACCAGGCTGGCCTTGAACTCACAGAGATCCACCTACCTCTGCCTGGGATTAAAGGCGTGAGCCACCACCGCCCGGCTTCTCAGTCAGGTTTTTAAAAGTGGATTATTTAATGCTCATCATTAATGCACTAAAATATCTTTAAAAGGCACTAGTGATGCTGAATGAAAGTGGGGACCTGTTCATGTTGAAGATGCTCTTTACCACAGCAATATTACTAACCCCAGAGGGTTTTAATGCTAATATTCTCTTATCCTAACTTGTATTCATTCTTAAGAATGTGTCTAACATGGCTGACGATTAGCTAACATTTGACATATTTGGACATCACTTTTAAAGACCATATTAAGTAAAGTTACATTTATGATTTTAAAAGTAAACATAACTTACAACATGCTATGTTTTGAGAGCTTTTATTTATATAATATTAGCTCATTTAATGATATCTATACATATCCATATACTTGTACTTTAGCTCTAGCAAAATAAAATTTTTAGTTATTCCTCAATCAACTACTTCCTAGGCAGCTCCTTCATGCCAAGTGGTAGGCCAGAGGCTAAGTCAGACTCTGTCTCCGGGAGCTTACTGTTTTGAAAACCACTAAACTGGGGAGATAATGTGCAGGAAAAACGTCCCTAGTCAAGTCATAAAGTAAAAAGTAATGTGCTTGGTGACAATGGCGCTCAGGTACCATCCAGCACAAACTTACTCGTTCTTGCTGTGGGGCAGGCACTGTGCTGGGGGCTGAAGATAAAAGGAAGTAACCTGTGAGAAAAGTGCCTTGACTGAAATGTACATGTGCCCCCAAATACCTGCAGCATAACAGCATTAAGAGGCAAAGCCTTTAGGATAAAGCCCATGAGTGGGATTATCAAAGAAGTGGAACCCTTCACCCCTCTACCATGGGAGACGTCATGATCCCACTAGATGCCAAATTCTCCAGAACCTTAGATCATCCCCACTCCAGAGCTGTGAGAAACATGTCTCTGGTGTCTGGAAGCCACCTAGTCCTCATCAATGCGTCTGAACACACTGAGACACTCAGGAATGAGAAACAGTAATATTACCATTAATAGTGTTATAAACACTAAGAGCTAAAACCACAAGTCCAGAATGTTAAGTACTTCATTAACTGTTACCTTCATTTTTAAGCTCCTTGCCTTAAGCTCAGATATATTTTTGACAAATAGCACATATTGGTATGGGCTAGAAAGACAACTCAGCAGTTAAAAAAGGCTAGCCATTCTTGCAGAGGATTCAGGCTCCATTCCCATAATCCACATGGCAGCTTACAACCATCAATAATTCCAGTTTCAGGAAATCCAGTGCCCTTTCTGACCTCCATGGGCACCAGGTACAAATAAAGTACACGAACATAAATGCAGGCAAAAAAATCCCATAGACTAAGTAAATAAATACATAAATAAATTTTTACTGTTTATAGCACAGTATCTTAAGTATTACTTTATCTACAAACAGAAGCAATACCCAAAGTTCTTAGAGATATTTTTCTCCTGAGTAAATCATCCACAAACGTTTTTATTTATTATTTTTGTTTTGAGACAATGTTTCACTGTGTAACCCACACTTGCCTCAATCTTAGCATCCCAAGTGCTAGGATTAAAGGCATGTGTCATCATCCTGGCCACCAAAACCTACTGAGCACCAACTAATTACAACATGATACACACTAGTGAACCTGGTGAGGTAGTGAATGGAACAGGGAACTTGCTATATTCACCGTCTAGTGAGGTAACGTGAGACCCACTGTTAGCTGGTTCCCCTTGGCTTTGTCTCTGTTCTCTAGAATTATCAAATCGGAATGTTAATGAATAAGCCTTATTTCTGTTTGAAGCCCCCACCATGTTATAGCGACAATATTCTCACCAGCGTGGTAGATTTTCCTTTTGTCTGTGTCTAGATTGGAAAGATCATACATGTCAAGAGGAGACGCCAGAGGCATTACATCCTCACAGCCTGAGGTAGTCATGTAGTGTGTTGAAATCTTCTTGAAGCAGCCCTCTGCCTGGAAATATCTGAAGTATGCTCCCAAAGAATTTTTTAAATCCTCCCCCCTGAAAAATTCCCATTCTGGGGCTTTTTCACTAACCTAAGATAAACTCTGATGAAACACAGTTGGTAAAGTGTAGATTCCCCCAGAGCTCCACTCCATAGAGGCTCTGCCTAGGAAGGAATATGCAGACATTGTCAACAAGAACCTCTTTCCCTTGGGGGTAGAAAAGGATGGGTAATGAAACTCACTACAGTTCTTTCTCTTTTAATCTTTTTCTTTTGTCACAAACTATAGCTTCTTCCACCGTGCGGTTTCTGCTTTAATTGGACCAATAGTTCTAGTGGATTTATTTTAAGCCAGGAAGTGCTTTGGGTACTGGGAGGGGTTAAAAAGAAAAGACAGATCTTACCTGTCACAATTTTTTTTTGCAGATGAAAAGTCTGAAGCTTCAGCTTGGGTGATGGGTCCAGAGAGCCACAAGGATAAGGCGCAGAGCAAGCGCTTGGGACCACATTTCCAGACTATTAAGCGTGCTGCTTCATACACCACCTTCTTGCTACATCTCTCCCAAGATGTCAATCAAACAGGTACAGCAGGTGGGAGAAACTGGAGAGGCGTTTGACATACTTTAGGTGTAATCCTTACAACCTTGTGAGGCAATTACAATTTTATCTCGGGGATAAGAAGCTATAAGAGAGAGGACATATGTGTGTCCTCAGTGAAAGTGGCAATGGGATTATATTCCATGGCTGGCCCACCCCCAAACCGGTCCCCTTCCCTCTTGTTTGCAGTCTATGACCAGTAACTTTCTGATATCACCCAGTGCCTGGCAAGCACATATGCCTCATGTATTATCCCTGTTTTCTGAAGAAGGAACTGAGCTAAGAGACCAAATCACCCAGTGACTGTGCAGCAGGGAAAACTGGGTTTGGTTTCAAGTATAGGTTCTCCGCAAAGCAGCTACTTTAGCCACTACGATGAAGGAAATGCCACCCATGCTGGTTTCATCATTATATGACAAAAGAAAAGTTAATTTGAATATAGAGTAGCTCAGTAATATTCCAAAACTAAGATACTTAATTCCAACATTCAGACCAGCTTTAGGACTGCTCAGTTTCAGGGTAGGTCACTAGACCTCTTTTAGATCTGCTTCCCAGACACAAAAACAAAAGCACTGGATTGGATATTGCTTTAGGAGCCAACTTTAACTTTTCCTCCCAGCTCTGAAATTGTTTCTACCCCCAAAGTATCACAGAAACAAACAGAAATATTTGCAAGATGTCTCTCAGCTGTATCTCATTCCTAATTTAACATCTCACTTTCTTCCACAGTACTCTTTTAATTTTTGGTAGCCTCCCAGTTGTTCATATTTTTCAGAGACAATGCAAAGGTTTCCAATAAAATGATATATTATAGAACATAAAATATGCACTCAAAACACGTATGAAGTGTGACATTTAAATGTGCAAAACTCTTTCCCATGAATGATGAAAGAGAACACATTTCTCTCACAGCTATTAGACCATAGTTGAAGCCTACAGTATCTTGTTTAAAGTAAAAACTGTTGCTTCATTGTAATTATTAGTAAGCGCAGAGGCAAATTACTTGACTCTTGGCTACTGTCAGTCTGTGATCTCCAATTATCCTTTCCGTGCCTCGTTTTCCTCAGCCGAGAAACAGGCATTCTAGTACGACATCAGGCTGTTCTGAGGAATAACTGTGTTGCTACCACTTTTCTGTGCAGGTTGCTATTCTTCACATGTGAGCTGGTTGGTTTAGAGTATTGTTACAGGGAACAATACTTGATGCTTATTATGTCCGAGGAGCGGGAGTTACAGGGAATTAATTCTATGGCCTGGCCATACTGGGCTTACTTTATGAAGAAGGGAGATTAGGCAACTGGGACATCGTAAAGAACGAAAAGGAGGGTGGCTTTAGACATGGCAAACGGGGTCAGGGCTATCCACCCTCTCGATCGACTCTGTCTCTCCAAGCGGTCGGGAGAATCCCTGCGGCCTCTGCCATGGGACGTCACAGGAGGCGCGACCAATGGTGGCCCGCACGGGTGGCTCCGCCTTCCGTGTTTCCGGCGCAGCCCGACCCGGCCGGCCCTGAGCTTGGCATGCGAGCCCGTCCTCCTGGCTGAGGTGCGTCCGCCAGGGCTGCCAGCCCCGCCCTCCACCCTCAGCCGAAGGCATCAAGCGTCGGGCGCGCCGAGTGACACCGGAGTCCCGCCCCCGTATGTCACTTCCGCGACGCTTCCGCCGCGGTGCCTTGTGGGTAGCCGGCCAGGGGGGGGGTCTCCTGGCGACGACCATGGCGGGGGATGTGGGTGGTCGCAGCTGCACGGACTCGGAGCTGCTGCTGCATCCTGAGCTGCTGTCCCAGGAGTTCCTCCTCCTCACCCTGGAGCAGGTGGGGCGTTCGGGCCCGACTGAGGACGGACGGGCAGCCGGGAGGACGGGCAGGCCTGCGGGAGGCTGGTGGCCGCTCCCCGCCCACACAGATCCGGCGGGGCTGGCCTCGCTCGCGTCCCCAAAGGAAACCTCCCGAGAGTGGCTGGAATCCCCGGGACATCCTCGCTAGCTCGGAGAGGGCGTCCCAGACTACCTCCGCTGCCCCTGTGCGAGCAACGGCCTGCAGAAGACAGGGACTAGGAGAGCAGACAGGGAGGGGAGAAGTCTGGTGCAGTCAGGGCTGGGTCCAGAGCGTCTGAGAAAGTCTGTTTCGCAGCTTTTCGCCTCCCTTACAGACATGAACTTACTTCCTGAGATCATTATCTGGACCTAGTCACCGTTAGGAGAACTTAAGGCACCTAGCCTTCTAGGTGGTGTGCTTGGATGTTTTGGTTTGGTTTGGTTTTTGTTTTTTTCCAAGCTGTTGTGACCTAAGAAAAACGCGATCCGTTTTATTCAAATTGCTAAAAGTTTCACAGGGGTTTTGTACGGCCCGTTTTGTTTTCCATGTGTGTTTTTTTTCTTCTCCTAACTACCGTTACTCTCTCTAATTACCTGAAGTTCTTCATACATTATTTTAAAGATGGCCTCTAACCTGTGGTTCTCAAGCTTTTAAGCCCACGAGGATTATCGAGGTCTAGTTGAAACATACCAGTTCCCATCAAGTAGGTTCCGTATGTGCCCTGCAACTTCATTTTAGCTAGTTCTGGCTGTTGACCCAAGGACAACACTGCTGCTAGCTCTTCAGTGCTTTCTAAGCAGATGAGGCCCTCTGGGAATGTGGTCCAAGAGTTTCAGGGTATCCCACCCATGAGTGAATGCAAGAGGCAAGTCAGCAATATACTATATGAAAGAGGAATAAAATGGTTTAAAAAACAGTCAAACTAGTTAGCTGGCATTTTTTTCATTTATACAAAGCATACAGTTCTCCAGTTTTTCCTGTGCCTTGTGCATTATTGTACTTAATGATGTTGAGAGGGAATTGGGCAGTGGGAGAGATTGGGGTTATTTAGGCATGGGTGGTTAGACAATGGGTTAAATGGTGAAAATGATGGGACATGACAGTATGGGGAGTTCAGTGGTTCAGTGTGTGTGTGTGTGTGTGTGTGTGTGTGTGTGTGTGTGTGTGTTGGAGTTGGGGGTCTCCATGGTAAAGCCATTGCTTGGCATACTTAAGGAACTTGGTTCAATCCCCAACACCAAAAGAGCAAACAAACAAACAAAAGCAAAAAACAAAAGCAAGAACCCACCCATCAGATTAAAGAAACATGAGAAATAAATCACAGGGCAGATCCTACCCCACCAATATGACCACGATGATCATACTCAAAGTAGCTTAAGGATAGAATTGGGTAATATGCTTTCTTTTATCTGTTTTCCTTAGATACTGCCCCATTTTCATTTAGATTAAGGAGGTAGTTGTGGTCGTGGCTGTCCTCTGCTGCTAGAGTTGGCTAACATGTACAGACAGTTCTCTGCAGCGAGGGTGTGTGGCTACTCTAAGATGAGGCGCACCGTAATATTTTAGAGGTTAATGGGTCCTTAATGCAGTATCTAATAATACCTTATAGGACTCCTAATTGGATGTGGTTGTGAAAATAGTTTTATAATTTATTTAAGCATAATGCTTTTAACTATATTATGCAGATACGTAGTTTTTAAAGGAAAGCTCTTGTTTTGAGATACTTTTTTGTTTCCTTTCCCACAGAAGAACATAACTGTTGAAAACGACGTAAGAGTGAATAAAGACAACCTCACTGACCTTTACGTCCAGCATGCCATACCGTTGCCTCAGAGAGATTTGCCAAAGAACAGATGGGGGAAGATGATGGAAAAGCAAAGAGAACAGCGTGAAGTAAAAATTGAGACCAAAAGGTACTTCCTAGTGGCTCTAGGTTTCATCTAATGCCTCATGACTAAAGGGCTTTGTTTTTGGTTTTTTCCCACCAGATAAACTGGAGAGGTAGACATTGATTTGGTAACTGGTAACTGAACACCAAGTACTGTGGTTGGGATAGTGGACAGTACCAACACCCTTTCATGTTTTAGTTGAGAGACACTTAATCTCGTTAAACGTATGCTATGGAAATAGGTAAACCATGGAAAGGTGAAATGGCCAGCAACTACTTCATACAGAGTGACATTCCAGTAGAACGACCTGTAAGAAGTAGAGACTTGTCTGTTATTCTGCTGTCTGAGAACCTGGATCAGTAGTGTGCCCGTCATGTGTCAGGCCTAGGGTTGGAAAGAGATGGAGCGAAAGCATGGCAGGGATTGTGGGATCAAGTAGAACTTGTGGACTGAGGGGATTTGGCTTTAGTCTGAGATGAGAATCTGTGAGACAGTTTTGAGTCAGTGATGGTGGTAACCCCACCAGATGATGTTTTAACAGGGTCACCCTCCCTACTGAGCAGAGAAGTAATTTAAGGTGGGGGAGTTGCAAGGATGGTATCAGGGAACTGGATTAAGAAAGAAGGCTGTGTTGTAATCCAGTAAATGATAGCTTTGACTAAAGTAGGGAGTTTAATGGGATAGGGTCTAGATTATTTTTGTAAGTAGAACCAATAGCGTTTGTTGACTTTTGAGGAAAAAGATGAGTCAGGTAAGACTGATGTAGAAATGAAGAGTCTGTTACCTAAATTCAGGTATCATCCTTTAATTCTTAAAAGATTTTTAAGTTTCAGAAAAATTATCATATTAACTATAAGCAACTTGTTTTTAAGAAGAAAATTACATTTGATTAATGAATGTTGCTGACTACCTCATGAGGATGACGTTCTAAGATCCTTGAGTGTTTGCTCTGACAGTTGATGGTATCGATCACTCAGTCCCTCTCTACATAATGCACTGCCATAGGCAATACCTAGAGACAGTAGGGGAAGGATTAAGAGGCTGGGGGAAGAGGGAAGATGTAAGTCTTAACTTGATCAGGAGTTTTTTCCCTAGTGAGTCCCTTAACTGAGGTGACTAGAAAGTGTGTAGTTGGATGTATGTGTGCTCTTAGTCTTTGGGAAAAGAATTAGTCTCAGTCTTGCCTTTGAGCAGGAGTGATTGCTTGTTAGTACGGGCTACACATTAGTGTTAACTTTCAGACCTCTGAATTATGTTGCATATATCTTTCATTTTGTTTACTTGTTTAGGTTCTTAAATTCAAGCAGTATTGTTAGCACATCCTGGCACTTGACTTAGTAATAAGCAAAACTATCAATACTTCAAAGCTAAATTTTGTATGACAGTCCCTGGGTATTGTTTGGAAAATATCTTTGACTCTTATTTTAATAATTTGCAATTTGGGGGTTGAGGTTTAGCTCAGTTATAGAACACTTGCCTAGACAGTATTCAAGGTCTGGGTTTAATACCCAGCACTGAATAAACCCCAACCCTACTCATGCACACATACAACATTTTACAATTTGAATCTTGAACCCGAACATTATAGTTGAAAGGATCTAGAAGCATCTGTTTTGTTGAGTTCATTATTTTTTCTGGGGAGAAATGGAGATCCGGAGGGATGCTGTAACTTGCCCAAGGTGACAGACAGTATATTAGTTGCATTTCTGTTGCTGTGATAGAGCACCATGATCAGGGCAGCTTATAGAAGGAGGGGTTTATTTGGCTTATGACTCCAGAAGGCTGAATCCATCACCATCACAGGGGAAGCACTGTAGCAAGCCCTAGGCATGGTGGCAGGAATAGCTGAGAGCTCATGTCTCAAGCCCCACACAGGAAGCAGAGCAAACTCCAGTGGCACAAGTCTTTAAGGCAGTGGTTTTTCAACCCATGGGTCTTGACCCCTTTGGGAGTCGAAGGACCCTTTCCAATAAGACCATTGGAAAACACAGATATTAACATCACAGTTCATAAAAGAAGCAAAGTTATAGTTATGAAATAACAACGATAATAATCTTATGGCTGAGGGTCACTACAATGTGAGGAACTGTATTAAAAGGCCACAGCATTAAGAAGGTTGAGAAACACTACACTAGAGATTTATGGCCACAAAATGCATGCCTACCCTCAGATGATGTAACTGACCTGAGGTGAGGGTATGTATCGAGGCCTCACCATGCTTGAATGAAGATCAAGGCTGCGTTTCACAATGCATCATTCATCCAGAGCAATACTCATTCATTGAAAGTGCTCTGTCTATTATTTTAAATCTCCTATATCTTGTTTTTCTTCTGTTTCTTTGCTTTTAAGTGTTTAAATCCACAAATATTCATAATTTCCTGAAATATTCAGGTCTGTGCTTTGGAGCAATGAGATGCACTAGTTAATTAAGCAGTTGGCATGAAGACTCATCACATGTCATGATTAAAACTGTACAAATATTTTAATCACTGATTATAAGGTGCCCAGACCTTAGAGACACTTGGAGTCTACAGTAGGGTTTTGCTTTGTTGTTTGTGAACTGCCACTGGGAGTGAGTCGGGTAGTTTCTCTTTATAAAATAATAACTGATTATGACTGCATGGTTAAAATAGAAGTACCAATAAGCTGCCTTTTTTTATTTTGGAGCTAGTTAATATTTATATTACTTTTTTATTTGTTTGATAAAATAACAAGATCAAGGCAGTTTGTAGAAAGAAGGGCTTATGGTTTCAGAAGGATGAGCCCAAGACAGGGAGTCATGGAGCAGGCTACAGACAGTTGAGAGCTCACAACTTGAACTGCAAGCGGAAATAGAGAACAAAGTGGGAATGACAGGAGTCTTTGAACTGTCATAGCCCTCTTTCACTGAGGTACACCTCTCAAACTGCCCAAACAGCAGCACCTACTGGGGACCAAGTATTCAGATTCCCAAGACTGTGAGGGACATCTCATTCAGCATTTTAGAAATAATCATATTTTTATAAAAGATAACCGAATTTCTTATAAATAAATATTATACTTTCAAGCACTAGAAACTTATTTCTTTGGGCCTGGAAGTCTTATTTCCAACAGTTCCTTTTACCATGGCCTGGTCAATAAATCTTGTTTCCTGTTGTTCTGACTAAATGCAGTACACTGATCTGCCAGCCCATGTGGTGCTTTTCAAGAGAACATCTCTCTGATTTCAGGAATAGTGCTGTAGACGGATTAAGGAAAAGACCCCTCATTGTGTTCGACGGGAGCTCAACCAGCACAAGCATCAAAGTGAAAAAGACAGAGAACGGGGCGGATGACAGGCTCAAGCCTCCCACCCAGACAGGCTCTACCCGGGATGCCTTTCGGAAATTACCTAATTCCTCTTCGAGGGTTTCACCCCTGGTTTTGGTTTCCAGTTTGCCTATGAACAATAAGATGGAGCACAATAATAATGACACTAAACAGAACCATGACTTAACACATAGGAAAAGTCCTTGTGGGCCTGTGAAGTCGCCGCCTTTGTCCCCTGTTGGAACTACTCCTGTGAAATTAAAGCGGGCTGCTCCTAAGGAAGAGGCAGAGGCCACGGTAAGTCTGCGATGGCTTCCATATTAAGCATGGCGCTGAGCACCCACCCTGCAGCCCCAGGCTGTGCCTGCTGCCTTTTATTGGGGCTGGGGTGCTAAAATCAGGCCTATTTCCTTTAGAGGCTTATGTTCTGAAAACAGTATGGAGTTTAAAATTTGGCTCATGTCAAACCTTCATGGAATTTTGATAGTTAAGCTGACACCTCTTTTCCTCACTATGATCTAAAGGGTCACCCTGAGACTAGACCCTGCAGCAGGGAAGGCTTAGTGGTCGTACACGCACAGAACCCGCTGGAACCCTGAGGGAACGAATGCTCCCTCACCTAGCCAGTCTCTGCAGCCTCTCTGTCTACCCCGGTGGGTACAGTCAGTAGCAGTGCCATGTGTATTGCTGGCCAGTCCAGACTGAGGGGCAAAGGGTGGGTAAGTGCCATTTCAGGGTGGGTCCTGCCAGGCACACTCTCCCTAGCTGCATCTCCAAGGTTTGTCAGTGCCTAGGAAGAAGAGAGCACCCACGATAGCACTTGACACAATAGCCTGCAGGGTTCCTGGATGCCGTTGAACTCTGCAGTAGTCTGGCTTGTTTTGTTTGTTTTGGTTTGGTTTTTTTGAGACAGGGTTTCTCTGTGTGTATTCCTGGCTGTCCTGGAACTCACTTGTAGACCAGGCTGGCCTCAAACTCACAGAGATCCATCTGCATTTGCCTCCCCAGTGCTGGGACTAAAGGCGTGCACCAGCACTGTGGGGCAGTAGTCTGGTTTTTATATCTCATTGCTCATATATTTGAATCCTGGAATCTAAAAATCCACAATGATTATTGCTTTTGAAAGTTTACCAAATTTCTTTCTATGTGAAATGAAGACAGAAAGACAGGTTTCCTAAAATTTTCTCTTTTTGTCTTAGAATATAAAGCTAAATACTCCTGTTAGTGAGGCCCAGAATGCTTCTGTCTGGGGCAGCACATTTATGCAGTAGTGTTTGGGCCTGGACCTGAAGTCTTTGCACTTTCATTAAACCTACCCTAGTCTGCTCTCCCCTAAACATGAAATTGCATAACCATGGAAGGACAGGAATTCTAAGGGGGGGTCTCTCATACATTGTGCTCTATTGTGTCTAAGCCTCTGGGTGCTGGGGTTTTGTACACAAGTCACAGGTGCAAGACTTTCCGTTAGGTGGCCAGACTGTCCATTGATTACAGGGCATACATGGGACACCTCCATACTTATTTTAGCCTCCTTGTGAGATAGAGGAGAAAGTGGGATGGAAATTAGAATAAGCTACATCTGAAATACAATTACTACGAGGAGCGAGCCTTAGAGGCATATATATTTACATAGCTATGATCTCTGCATACACATGCAGATGCATATAGATAGGTATTACTTTAGAAATGTAAAGATTTGTCACCATTTCTCTCCAAGTTTAGACTGATACCACTGAAAGAGGTGGGCTAAGTTTCCAGCAGGCAAACTTGTCAGCTCTGCCCATTAGAATCACCATAGGAGCTTCTAGAAAGCGAAGAGAGGCCTATCCCTCTACTTCTGTGGTTTCTGGTTCTGCTGTTTGTGGGATAAGGTTCAGGGTGTGTGTGTGTGTGTGTGTGTGTGTGTGTGTAGGGGGGAGAGAGATCTGTGTGTGTGTGTGTGTGTGTGTGTAAGGGGGAGAGAGAGATCTTGGTGCAGAACATTGAGAACCACAGATGAGCCAGAAGAGCCTTCCTTTCTAGTGTGCGCGCCATCCCCACCAGGTGGCAGCAGAGTCTTGCACTGGTGTATCTGTAGCCGTCCTTGGCCGGGTGCCTGCTGCTCTGAGCTGCTCTGGGGCATCGCTGCCATTGTAAACTGGTTCTACTCCTCTCTTCCAGAATCCCCTGAAGCCTCCAGAAACAAAGAGGAAGATTCAACATGTTACATGGCCGTGAAGGGAGCCCTCAGAAATGTAAATAGAGTGCAGCCACAGTTGTCAGATGAGTCCACAGTGTTTACGGAGGTCCTGATCACTGTGGGATTTTGAGGTTTAAAATAGGTTTGGAAAAATAAGTCTTCCCTTCCTTTCCTCCCCCTCCCTCCATCCTTTTTCCCTTCCTTAAAATGTCTTGGCATTCATGGCCCAGTTAGGGAAGAATTTTTTTTAATGTAGCTTTGTACACATCCTTTATAAATTGCTTTTCCCAAACAGAAGCATATAGCAGTTCACAGTGTTCTGGTAAATACTGCCACCTGTATTGTGAAGGGTTCACCAAAAAAAGCGTGTTGCCGGTGTTCCTGGGAGAGCATTCTGCGCTTCAGTTTCCTGTGCCACTTTGTCCTATGGAAAGCAGAAGGAAAGTCAGGGCTTGCTGTCACTTCTCTCAGTGTCAGAAGCTGCTCGTGCGTCTTTAGAATGTCCCTGTTGTGCAGGGGTCCTACTCTTTCCTCAAGGGGCTTGAGGTCTCATTGTGAGTTCAGCTTGTCTTGTGAGTTTTGTCTTTTTAAAATGAGACTGATTTCAGAGTCTTCAGGCTGGGCGATCATGCGAGAGGCAGTATTTGACAGCAGAGAGTCTGGGATGATGGGTGTGAGAATTCTGGCATTAGGGAAGCCCGGAGCGTGTGGCAGTGGTGGGGGGTGCTTATTGGTATGTGGTGGGGTAGACAGTTGTCATTGTCAGGCCACTGGAATTGGAATTCACTGTAGAGTGCAGCTGAGAAGTGGACTCGTAGCTGAACGAGGTTCCTGTGCTAAAATACAACTTTCTGTAGGGCTGTCCCATGCAGGGTTAACTGACAGTCTTTTTGTTTTGATGCAAGTAGCATTATCCACTATAATGCAGCAGAGTGAGAACATACTGTTTGCTTTACATTCACGACTTCTAGTATCTGCTGCCTCCTTTATATTTCTAACTAAGAGCAAAGATACTTCATACCTTTTCCATGTATAATCTTGAGATTGATGGTTTGCCTTGTTGGCCTTAGGGTCATCTCTTTTCTTTGATTTGTTAAAGCAAGCGTTTTAGATCAGTTATCGACTAGCCTTACAAAACATAATTCAGCCTTGCAGGTAAGTACTGTTCTTAGACATCAGCCCTGTAGTTTTTTAGTGTTCTGCTTTTTTTCCCAGACTAAGTTTGTATACATAAGACAAAATTGATGCATCTTAAGTGTTGCATGACTTGTTGATGCTACAGTAAGATTCTAAATATATTGTTATCTGCAGGGCTGATTAAGTAATATTGTTGATGGGAACTGTGCTCCTATATGTAATTGTCAAGGGAGATTTTCAAAGTGCACCTTTTAGAATAGAATGACACATTATATTTTATATTCAGTTGACCCTTCTGCTTCCACCGGCATTTCTCTCTTTGAAGAGAGTATTAGCCATTTGACAGTTTTAAGTCAGTGGGAACTTATTTTTAGTTACTTGGTGAAATTAATTTTTAATTTGTATGTTTAACTTACAGAGTAGGTTGGTAATAACAGCTGAACTGTGTAACATTGTTGCTTCAAATTGAAGTTTATAATATGAACATTCAGCGTCTACGCTCACATAGCAGCATATTATTGAGCTGTTTTGAGTTTGCGAGGTGGAGAAGCATTGAACCAGGCACTGTGTATTATGTACTCCCTTCATCACAGCTCTGTGCCTCCCAAGGGGATCATGGAACTGGCTTCCTCCATGTGATGAAGCGTGCCAAGCACTGGGAATCTGGAGAAGCAGCTTGGGGGTCTTGTTCTGAAGTGGTGTTTCTGTGTGGGTTAGAAGGACTTGATGTGAGTGGTGAGCAATTCTGGAGTAACTTCACTCGCTAACATAGGGTTAGTATTGTTGCCTTTGATTCTGTGTCCCAACGAGGCCAGCACTTCTGATTCCTGGGTTGGGTAAAGGAATGGCACTGGAATCAGTGGGTAGATTGTGAGGTGTGAGAGGTACCACATCGCCATCAGCAAGTCAGCCTTGCTCTCTTCTCCTACCTGTGTACACCCTACTCTTTCCCATTCTCCTTTCTTTCCTCTCTAGGTCTCAGCTTCAGACTTAGATTTGCAAGTTGTATTGTGTCTGTGACCTTACACCATTCACTAAGGGGGGAAGATAGTCTGACCCCCAGCCCTCTTACATCTGGGGGAATCATAGACCACTGTGTGGGTCCTACAGTCTGGAACCCTGTAGCACCAGGGCGCTACATTGCTTCTCAAAGGCTGTTACAGCAGTATAGCTTTCCAAAGTAGCCTTATTAGTCTAGACCGCTGCCAGACACTTGGAAGAGTGGCTCGCTACTGTCATGAGGCTGTATTTGCTGGTATTAAAACTCTTCCGAATTGAAGTGTTTATTTGAAATTATATTTTGGTTGACTTAAGTTTGAGAGACAGTTCTAAAACCGATGTAGAGACTCATTCAACAGCAATGACCTTTAAAAACTTACATTAAGTAAAACTGCCAGTAGACTAAATCATCCCTGTGTGTTAGAGCTTCTACGTACTGCTGTGGAACTTGAGCATTGTTGAGAGGCTACTCATTGGTCAACATGTTTTTAAGTGTGCTTTTACTAAATGCTTGTGTAAGTTTTGTAATTCAGTATAGAAAAGGTTGACCTTGTAATGTACGTTTTTTGTATGTATACTCTTTTAAGTAGCCTTGTCTTTATTTAAATAAACTGAATAAAATTATCTTGAGCAGATCTGTCATTTGCAAAACAAATAAAATGGAAAAAGATTCCTGTTACTTGATGTGACTGAAGAAACCGATTCAGCAAGTGTCATTGTGTGTGGCATAATCATCTCTGTATTGCATTCAAACAGTCCAGCCCAGACAGTCACCTGTTGTGAGCAAGAGAACAGGTAATTATGTCATGTTTGAGACATCTTGATTGACATGGAGATGCACATCCTTAAGTATTCCTAAGTAATAAGTAAATTGGACAAAGCAGAAACTTGGTTGAGAGACTTAGGGTGAATGATCTGAAGTCAGCAGTCAATTTCCCCTCTGGGGAGGGTGGGCGCTTTTCAGAGGCTGTTCCACCTCAGCCCTCTTGCTTTTACCTCCTGAGTACTAGAAGCACAGCTCAGAGCTTAAATGACTAATTCATTAGCTGGGATCTTAATGTTACTGCATTTGAAGACTGAAGTTATAAATCAAGTAACTTGGAAAATACTCCAGTAATTTGCTATTTTAAACCAAAAAAAGAAAAAGGAAAAAAAGACAAAACTCACCTTGCATTTGGTTGATTTTTTTTTACTAGTGTGTTTTATGAACTGAAATGCCTTTAATCTTTTCCATTGCTTAATAATTTAGTTGATTTCCTGATTGTGAAATAAAAAATAAAGATGTGAGTTCCTATGTATTTTTAAATGCCTGTAATGTGTATCTTAGGTTTGAGCAAGGTGATTCAGTTCCTCATTCCATGGAGAAGGAAGCCCGGTGAGCATGGAATGATAGGGAGTGAACCAATAATTTATTCAGTAATCTGTGTGTAGATGCATGGACTCTTTTTTTTTTTTTTTTTTTTTTTTGTGGTTTTTCGAGACAGGGTTTCTCTGTATTGTTTTGGAAGCTGTCCTGGAACTAGCTCTGTAGACCAGGCTGGCCTCGAACTCACAGAGATCCGCCTGCCTCTGCCTCCCGAGTGATGGGATTAAAGGCATGCGTCACCAACGGCCCGGCTAGATGCATGGACTCTTTATGCGTTAGATTATGTTTAGTTACTTTTCTATCTCTGTGATAAAACACTATGCCCAGAACAAGTTACTTGGTGCTTACAGTTTCAGCATATCAGAATGCATGATGGCACAGTGTAAGTAAGCAGGCACTGGGTAACAGGAGGACAGCTGAGTTCTCAAATCCTGAAGCGTAAACAGGCAGGAGGAGCTCACTGGGAGTGCCATGAGTCTTGTGAAACCTCAAAGGCTAAACACGCACGCGCGCACACACACACTTCCTTCAGCAAGGCTGCATCTCCTGTCTGTCTTACTTCTCTGTTACCGTGATAAGACACCATGACCACGGCAACTTTAGAAGGTTTATGTGAGCCTTACAGTTTCAGAGGGTTAGAGTCTATAACCATCATGGGGAGGAGATTGTAACAGGCAGGCAGACAGGCAGATATGCATTGGAGCAGTAGCTGAAAGGTAACATCTTGAGATACTCCCACATGGCAGTCTTTTGAAGCCTCGGTGCTCACCCCCAGTGACACATCTCTGAAAAGGCCACCTAATCCTACCCAGAGCAGTTCTACCAGCTGGGGACCATGGGACATGAACCTATGGGGGCCGCTCTCATGCAAACCACCACATCCACCTCCCCCACCCTCAAGCTCATGGCTGTATATATATCATAGTGAAAAATGCAGTTCAGCTGAGAAGTCCTGTAGCCCAAGTCTAGCGCAGTTTAAAAGTCCAAAGTCACTCTCTTGAGAGACTGGAGCAGTCTCTTAATTGTAACCCCGTATAAAATAAAAAGGCAAGTTGCATGCTTCCAACATACAATGGCACAGGATATATGTTACCATTCCGAAAGGAAGGACCAGGGCCACAGTGAGGAAATACTGACCCAAAGCAACCAATACCCAACAGCACAGATTCCAGATCCTGAAGCTTCACGTGTGTGATGTCGAAGGGCTTAGATGGCTCCACTGTCCAGCTTTGCTGCCTGTAACATACTCCCCTCTCCTTGGATGGATCCACTCCCTGTGTGCAGCTATCCGCAGCAGATGGCTCATGGCTCTGGCGTCTCCAACATCTTGGGGTCTCCAGTGCAATCCAGGCTTCATTTTCACAGCTTCAGGAAGTGGTCCATCAAGGCTTCCATGCAGGAAGTCTCCTGCCACAGGCTCTCTTTAACCATAAAGGGAGATGATGTATCCTCTTGCGTATCCTTCAAGATCCTGTAGCCAGAACCACATGGGCAACACTGGCAAGTTCAGCTGACTGCTTAGGATGGCATCTAGCCCTACAGAATCACATTTGCGCTCTCTCTCCCCCCCCCCCTCCCTCCATCCCTCCCTCCTCTCTTTTTTTGTTGTTGTATTTTGAGACAGGGCTTCTCTGTGTAGCTTTGAAGCCTGTCCTGGAACTCACTCTGTAGACCAGGCTGGCCTCGAACTCACAGAGATTCACCTGTCTCTGCCTCCCAAGAGCTGGAATTAAAGGGTGTGCCACCTCCACCAGGCCTGCTGAAGCTTTCTTTTGTTGTTGCTTTCTAGGAACAAAAAATTCCTTAGGCCTTTCCTTTCTACAAGTTGGACACTTACGTTGGTGGGGTCTTTCCCTGAGGACACTCCTCCCTTTATTCTGTCTTGAATCCAGCCTTTCTCTCTCAGCACAAGCCTTGGCTCTAGTACATTGTAGAGTGCATTCTGATGATGCTTTCCCTACCCCGTCATCTCTCATCCCCATCCCAGTAACTAAGTGCCACTCTCAGCATTGGTCAGAGAAGTTTCTTTTCGTGGCAAACTATGATAAATGCAAACACTCTCAATGCAGCTGAAGAGGCTGGGAATGAGTAGCTGTTGTGGGCCCTGCCCCAAATGGAGCATCTGTATCAACCCCTCCAAGGCTTAGGAAATGTGGAAGAGAGGACAGAAAAAATTCTAAGAGCTGGATGATGGAGGGAAGGACGTGAAATATCTTCTGATTATGACATGGACGTTACAAGTACGGACAATATGGTCTCCAATGATCAGTGGGTCAGTAAGGAAACTGGGCAGGAATTTTTTAGAAGTCTTAGAATCAATGAAACTAAAAATAGAGATTACCAGAATCCTTGGGATGCAGCTAAGGCAGCTCTAAGAGAAAAGTTTATAGCTACAAGTACATCTGTTAAAAAGAAAGATGGTAACCAAATAACATAATGATGAACCACAATATCTTAGGAAAACAAGAACAATCCAAACTCCAAAGGGATCAGCAGTAAGAAATGATAAAGGGCTGGAAATATGGCTCAATGGTTAAGACACTAGCTGCTTTTCCAGAGGACCCAGATTTGATTCTCAGCAAACACAAAACTCAGTAACTCTAGCTCCAGGGGATCTGACACCCTTATCTGGCCTATGGTGGCACTTGGACACAAATGGTACACAGACATATGCCCACAAAACACCCATACACATTAAATTAAAATTTAAAAAACACAGACTACCCCCCCAAGAAATTATAAAGATGAGGGCATAAGTTAATGACACAGAAACTAAATAATATATAAAATCAATCAGAGTTGATGAGTTGGTTCTGAAAAATGTAAACAAGATTAGTAGCTCTCTGGTAAAATGGGGGTGGGGTAGAGGTAGCGAATGCCCATATTAGTAAAAGCTGACAGTGTTTACACCAATTCCAAAAAAGTCCAGAAAATCATTAGGGAATATTTTGAAATCTTGTTTAAAAAGACTGGAAAATCTAAAAGAAACAGATGCTCCTAAACAGACACATACAAACCAACCAAGATTAAGTAAAGAATATATAAAACAAGTCGATCTGATTTATAACCACCAGTGTTACAGAAACAATAAAAAGTTTCACAATAAGGAAAACCCAGGACCACATGAATTCACTGCCAACTCTTACCAAAACTTTAAAGATGAACATGAACCAATGCTTCTCAAATGGTTCCATAACAGAAGGAATGGAACACTGCCAAACTGCCAAACTTATCTTATGAAGCCAGTATTACTCAGATAAGTCAGAGGAGGGAGGCATAAGAATCATAGATCAGTTTCCCCTATGATCGGGGAAGGATATGTGGTCTTGGAGGAGGTGTATCAGTGGAGTGGGCTTTGAGATTTCAAGACTCCTGCAATTCCCAGTGCTCTCTCTCTCCACTTTGTGGTTGTGGATCAAGATGTGAACTCTCAGCTGTTTCTTCACTCCACCCTCATGGACTCTAACCCTCTGAAACTATAAACAAGTTAAATGCTTTCTGTTTTATTTGTTTTTTGAGATTGTATTTTAATTACTTTCCCCTTTCCTTCCTCCAAACCCTCCCATATACTCCCTCTCATATACTCCCTCCCATATACCCTCCTCCCATATACCCCTCATACTCTCCTTCACATTCATGGCTTCTTTTTCATAAGTTTAAATGTTTTCTCTTATGAGTTGTCTTGATCATTCTGGCAGGAATAGAAAAGTAAGTAAGACAATGGCAAAACCTCAAGTCAGCTGTACGTCCAGAAGACCCACGGGTGGTATTAGTTACTTTCCTGGTGCTGTGAGAAGACATCATGACCCAAAGGAACTTATGGAGAAAGTATATTTTTTGTTTGCAGTTCCAGAGGAGTGAGAGTCCATCATGGTGGGGTGCATGGCCACAGAAGCAAGATGCTGAAAGATCACATCTATATCCACACACAGGAAGCAGATAATGAGCTGGAAGTAGGGTGAGGCTATAAAACCTCAGAGCCCACCCCCAGCGACATACTTCCTCCAGCAAGGCTCCACCTCCTAGAGGATGCATAACCTCCCAAACATCGCCACCAACTGGGGACCAAGTGTTCAAGTTCTTGAGACTTTGAGGAACATACCTCATTCCAACCACCTACTTCACGTGTCATTAAACATCACCCAGATTAAGACGCTGACTCAGAAACCAGTGGGAAAGTCATAAGCACTAGCGGAGAGCCTATTGTTTTGCTAAAGGCTCCAGGTGTTTGTTTATAGGCATAGATTAGTGCCGCTCT